ATCTTATGCTCATTTAAATCTGGGGTATCTTCCCTAAACATTTGATTAGGATGGGCATGCTCTTACCAATACACACCTGTAAGTTATGGTTTATCCCGAGTTACAGCAACAGGACATCTTTCAGGTGGTCTATTAATTAACAGTGAGGTGAGCAGATTCTGGGCGAGAGCCATGATCAAAGAGGCTATTTGTTAATGCTTCAGCTCATTGTTTGCTGTGTTTCTTACTTGCAGTAAAAAAGTAGCGGAGACAGTAAAGTGGAGTTGGTCTTGGCATGAAAGTTCAACAGAAACAAGTTTAGGAAACATGGGTAATCTGGAAGCTGAGAATAGTTTTTTAATTTTGTGTTCATGTCTTTGAAGTAGCAGCCTCAGGTGCCTCTAGTAAAATTCAAGGATGTCTGGATCATAGTCTTCTTACATGATAGCTACAAGCTTATTTAATAGTATGGTAGTTATTTGGCAAACACGAAAAGATTGAAGAAACCCTCCCCTAGTGAGAATTTCACAAATAATTCAGGCCTTGGTGAGTGTGGTTAGCATAACTGTGACTTCAGAACCCCAAATATGCCAACAAGATCTAGACCTCTGGTTTGTGGCCATGATGGAAAAGCCTTTGGCTCCCAGGGCTCAGGGTGAACAAATGGAGTGAACTGGGAGCATATTCTGTCTGTGATATCATTCTCTGGCATTTTCTGATTTTGACATCAACTTGGGAAACTGACTTTAGAACTGCATTTTGATGAAAAATTTTATCCCTGATTCCCCAATCCTTAGTACTTTCCCTTCATATTTCTTTCAAGACGTAAAGCATGAGTCAAGGAATTCCTTTGAGTTCCCACAGAACTGCTGCCAGTTAATGCTGTATTTTTTTTTCTGTTCCTCAGGAAACTTCCTTGGCTCAGCAATACTGTAGCTTCCTGGCAACCTTTTGGCAATCTTCAGCTTAGAGAGTCTGGAATGCTTTCAGTTTCCATGGGGAAATAGTTGGCTCTCATGAGTCCCCTTTCCTTCCAGCATACAGTGGAAGAAATACATTATTTAACCCTTTTTAGGGAACTTGTCTGCATCCCCTATTTCACAGGTTCCCCCTTGACCCTCCAGAGACAACAGCATTGGAGAAGCATCTACTGTCGCTCCAACTGCTTGAAGAAATCCCAGGATAGCTGAAGGACGCTCTGAAAACAGTAAGCAGCAGTGAATTTCCCACAGTACCAAAAGAGCTTCAAGAAGTATGGCTAAATGGTTTGAATGAGAAATGTTCCCTACAGGCTCCTATGTTGTATGCTTGCTCCCCAGGTGGTGGTGCTATTTCAGGAGGGAATTTCAATTTTACAAAGTATAGAAAATCTCCTTGCTTCCTGGCAGCCATGACAGAAACTGCTCTGCTCTGTCACTCCTCCCTCCATGAAGGAGTGAGACATCTGAAACCATGAACTAGGATAAATCTGCCTCTCAGGTTGGTTGCTCTGGCATTCTGTTTTATTGAAGAAAATTCTGACTAACATAAATGCCTTTCAAGTACCCAGCATGTTTATAAAGATCCTAATGATCCTTTTATTTTATTTTTTTCTAATGATCATTTTTTTGATCATGTTGAAATCTGATTTTCCTGGAGGTTATAGTCATCAGATTTTGAAAAAACAACAACAAAGAAACCTTCCTCTGAGCTGATGTCCTTTTACTTTTAGAAATAGCACAATATTTGTTCTAGTCTGGCAAACTTTTGGTGTCTAAAAGTAAAGGAATAGCCTACTGTGACTAATTTAAAATGCTATGAATAAGTTGGATTCTAGAATCAAAATGAAAAAAAAATCAAATAACATATGAAATTTTTTTAGTATCCCAGTCCCCAGAGACCTCCTTAAAAAATCTAATGAAAACTGACTTTTGTGAAATTAGCCAACGTTTATGACCAGGTATATAAAATAATAAAACATTTCATTATCAATAAGGTGTATTGCAAAACTTGTTTACTTTTGTCATTCTCTCTAGCCTTTTATCCCAGCACGGAAATTGCTTTTCTGCAGAAATTGTTGAACATAAATCAGTCCTTCTAGGCTCAAGAGAAACCTTTAGCTCTTCTTAAACTGCTTTCTGTGGTATCAGACAGATTGCCAACTGACAGACAGATAGCCAGCTATTAGGAACAGGTGCTCCCCAGGGCTTCACATCTCTCATCTCCTGTGGAAGGTGAAATCCTAAAATTTTCTGATCTCCCCTTCAATGCTAACTTAATTATAACCATGATATTTGAATAATTTATAATAAAAAACACTTAGGGATTTTTTTCCCCTGAAAGAGTTCTAAATACCCACCTCTTCTCTTTATTATTTATAAAACTGTGATGTGTGTGTGGGAGTCCAGATGGGAGTCATCAGTTTTGTTTAAATCTTTAGGAACCATTGTGATTCTCTAAGTGTACAAAGACCTCTCTCGGAGTTTTGCATTTACTTACTGAGAGACAAATGCATGACAAAGGGACAGAGACTTTCAAAGGTCCATGATCCACCCTTATGTTAGCTACTTTTTTTTAATAATGGTGAATGATAGAAACCAAAGACGTGAGGAAGGGTTTATTTGCTGCTCGAGGTTTAGGAGGTTGAGGAGGTCCAGTACGGCATGGTGGCTGAAGCTCATGGGGACATGCATCACAGCTGATTGTGTTTCAGGAAATTGGGAAGCAGAAAAAGCTTAACTGGAAGTAGGGATGTGCCCAGTCATCAAAGACTGTACCAACTTCCCTACTTCCACTAGCCAAACTTTACCTTTTTAAGCTTCTACAGTTTTCTTGAGCAGAGCAATCAATTAGTGACCTGTAGGGGAACATCCTATAGCCAAACTATAGCGTTTGGCCCTAGTTCCCTACAGGCTTGTGGCTATTGATGAACAAAACTGCAGTCGATCTAACTTCAAGCGTTGTTTCTGCATCAGTACTATTCGAAAGTCCAAAGTGTCTTCTGAGACTCAAGGCGAGCTCTCAGGTGAGACTTTGTAAAAGTCAGAGAGCAAACTGTATTCTTCTGACAGACAGTGGCACATGATTGGAAAAGGGAGGAAAGAAAGGACAGTAGGGGAAGCTTTGGGCAAAGCAACACTGAAACCCAGTAGGACAAACATCAAACCACAGCTCCATGTGGAGCTTGCTGAGATCCACTCCTCTGGATCAGCTGCTTTGGGCACACGTGATCTCCTTTTGGGATGGAACCTCTCAGTGACTGCAGATTTATTTGGAAAACATTCTACACTCTTTGTTCTCCTAGCATCCTTGGTCTTCACTGCAACTTAGATGTCACCTTCATGTTGTCACACACAGCTTACTTAGGGGTTCTATGGAGGGACTCTACCTCTGCTACACCTTGTCAGACCTCAGTGCCTTTCTGGAACATTGGTACACCCTATTTTTCTACTAACTTTTCCTATTAATTACTTTTCTTGTTGAAAATTCCCAACAGAAGTAAATTAAGGGAGAAAGGACTTTTTGTTTACTCATAGTTTGAGAGAGTATGGTCCCCATGGTGAAAAACCATGGAAGGATGCTGAAGTAGATGGGTTTTTGGTTATAGAAGTTTGTAGCATAGTTTGTTACATTTCAGAAAACTAATGAGGAAGAGAGAGTTTGTGCAAAAAAGTTGGGCTGGTTATAAACCTCAAAGCTCACCCAATGATCTACTTCCATTAGCCAGGTGGCAAGCTTACGGGTTCCGTAGCCTCCATACAGCATCTGGAGACAAGTGTCAAAGCACAGGAACCTGTGGGGAACACCATTCCTCTAAACTATGACATGGCTAAATCATGAAATCCATATTTAAAAATTGAAAATTGCCATTTAAAGAGAGTGGTATTTTGCATATAAATTTATAAGCAGTGTATCTAAATAATTCATGGAAGGGTGGAGGTTCAGCTTCCTCATGTATTGTGTTCAGGTACCATGCAACTAATTGTCAGAACAGTCTAAGTACAACTTAGCTGTCATGAGAAATGCTACTTGAAATGATGAGTGATAGTCATTAATTTAAAACTACAGCTTTGTCTGAGGGATCATTCATAACATCCTAAGAGCAGGTCCATTGGGGTTCTGTGTTGAATATTGTTCAGAGAGTGTTAAGAGCTGGTACATCCTGGCCCTAGCCTCTTTAGAAAGGCACAAAAGGATATGGAACATGTATGGGCTTTATGGCTTCTGTGAAGTGATTTTATGGTTTTATTTCAATGTCTCTTTCTCAGTAATTACCTGTTACCAGTTTCAAGGTGACATAATTAGGGACTGAAGTTATTTCAAAGGTTCAACTGCATATGCTTGTAAATTACCAAATCCAGCTGCCCTAAGCCCTGTGTTAACTGACTTTTATTGTTTTTATATTTGAATGTGTATTCATTCCCAACTATTGAAAAAGAATTGCAATAAATGGTCTGCTCAAGTCTATTATTGAAAAAGACCAATGTTTCAGTGAACACTGGATGTAGAAAATGTCCCATCTGTTTGAACCATTTGACTGACTATGCTTGTGTGATTGTAATAGTATTTAGCTCTACTGCATGTGATAAATTATGGTTCACAGTGTGTTGGATCAAATGCTGAAGACAAGAACATTCTGGGAAAATAGTTCCATCTTTGATTGGCATTCACAGTCAATTTACCCAGTTCTACTTGGGTAGAGATAGCCAAGCTATTCTCTCAGGAGGCATCACCTTACAGATCTAAAAACAGAGGGACTTCTGATGCAAGTTATGGAATTTGTCTTACTTCTCCTTCCTGGTGCCCTGATAACATCACTACAGGCAATATAATGAGGGGTATTTTCTGCTTTTGCTAATTAAAATAATTACTATGTATTGATTTTGTTATGGCATAGTTGTTTTGGAGTAAGATACAGACTTCAAGGCAAAAATCAATCAAACTCAATTGTTTATATTTGACCTAAGAGACTTTATGCATATTCCTAAGATTCCTTTAAATCTTATTTAGATTATTAAATAGATTGAATTTAACATCAATACCTGGTTTCTTAGGGAGACTGTAGAACTTATCATCAACAGATTGTCTTCTGGCTGCCTTTTGTTGGAACACTATAAAAAAAGTACATAAAATTTATTAGACAAAGGCATTAAAGAATATAAAATACTCCATGAAAGCAGAATGTAATATGTCATTTTCCTTAGTAATGATATCTGAGTTGTATTCATTTTGAGTATAAGGGTTATTAAAATTGTAATTTTCTCATCTGTATAGTTTATCAGTAATTTTGGAATGTGTTTTCTTTGGGCAGAGTCCCATGATGTTGATGGAATGTGATATCAGGTAAAGATAAAAGCTTGATTTTGTTGGAAGTGATTAATGCTAAATTCACACAAAGAATCCATTTGCATAGAAATCTACAGCTCAAACTGGCTTGTGGGTGATAAGCACGCATAATTATTGTTTCTTCTTAAAGTGAAGAAAAGCCTGTTGTGTTCCACAGATGTAACAATAAAACAGACACTTTACTCTTGCGCCATTTACCCAGACCTCAGACCTATTAAAGCAGCTTGTTTGAATTACTTCATTATCTGAAAAGTGCTTTGTTCTCATTTATTATTTCTCACATGAAATTCTGGGAATTAGTCAGCATTACTCACCCTATTTTTCAGATGAAAGGTAAAATCAGTGTTTAATATTTATTAGGCACCCACAAAGTTCTGGATACTTTCTGGTATTTGTTAATGAAATAGACCAGATCCTTTACTACTTTACTTTTGGAAAATGAGCATCCGGAGTTACATTTATTTTTTATGGGCAGTCTGAATTATGGGGTTTGGGAACTCGAAGAGGCCCGGGAGATTTAGTCCAGTCTCATATGTTTATAGATGAGGAAGTAAGCAGCTTGTAAAAGGTCTAAGTGAATTTTGAAATGATCCCAGAGTTGTTAGTTGGAGAGATGATTTAGACCCTTAAGCCCTGGTCTTCGGTCTGTTGCTTCCTCCTTACTGTGATGCTGTGTCTCCCATTCCCTTTTAAAGTTAGAGAGGGAGGCTGGAAGGAGCTACAGGAGCGTGGCTGTGCTCTTGTTCTTCTTGGTATCTCAGCAGGATCTTCTTATAAAATGGAACTGAGTCACATGGGGCCAACTAGACAACTGCCTGGCACTTGGCCACCGTGACCTAGACAAACACCTCTGTGATGATCATGGAATTCTACCTCGGCTTTACTCTTATTTAAACCACTCTAATATCTAGGTCATATGTGGAATTAATCAAGAACACATATTTTTAAAACAAATGTCCCAAATCAAATAATCATTTATTAAACACATTTTGAGATAATGTTAGGAGAAAGATTATTCCTCTCCATGTCCTCAGGAAAAGAGAATATACTTTCAAATATGATGCACTTGAGAAAAATACACATATAAAGTAACATCCATGGTTGAAAAATCAGTTTTCTTTGTGCATTCTGAGTTTGTGACCTTTTCCTAAATGAAACATACTGAGGGGTATATGGCATGTGACTTGAGGATGTTAGATTTTTTCCAAGTCGTACTTGTGTTTTCATCAGCTCATTCTTCAGTTTCGATTAAATACTGTAATAACAGCCAACCTGTGCTTTTGCTAATATGTTAAGATGTAATGGAGAGTGTCTAAGACTGAAAAAACAGTCTGGCATTGTTAATATGGGAAATGACTTGAACAGAAAGGCAAATGCAACAATAATCTCTCCAATTAGGCAGCATGCTACCTATGAGTTTAGAGGATCTGGCTGAGGGTTGGAGCTGCAGAGCATTTGAAAGCAGCTTCTCTCTCCAGCTTGTTTGGGGGTGAATTTGCTCTATATCTGATTTACCCTGGATATTTTATTGGAATACCTTCTGCTGACAACAAAGTGTTTGACCCATGTGACATGGAGTTAATGCTGTCCTTCAGGTACTGTGCATTATTAGTTTGATTTCTCTAGGATTGAACCAGGGTGGACTACTGAGATGGGTGGTGGAATAAGGAAGTTATGACAACAGGGCTGTAGGTAGAGGGTAGGCAGTAGGTTACAGTGCTAAGGTTCCCCTTAGCATCCAATATGCCTTAGAATTCCTTAGCTCATCCACAGCTGCACCCATGTCTCTTTCCCCCCACCCCCGCCACTTACTGATGCTATTACTTCCTTACAAAAGCTCCAGACTTAGCAAACAGTCTTCTCAATGCTTTTAAAATTCAGAGGCATTTTTTTCATACACAAAATATCCACAAGGAAAGACCTATTATTTGTGATCAGAAGTCTTAGACTAATGGAAAAACCAGAGAATTAAACCACAGACCATTGTTTCAACTACATTGTACTTGGTCAATGTCCAAAGAATGCTACCAATGTAATTATGACATGTCAACTTGGGTAACCTTCCCACAGTGAAATCTTATTTTTCTTTTGCTACCCACAGTTAGAATTTGAAAAGACAAAAGATGAACGCAGTATTGATGTTGTCATTACCTTTGAACACAAATGTCAATAGAGGCAGAAAAAAAAAACTAAAACAAGTTTTTTGAGCTTTAAAATATTCCCAAACAATACAAATGTCCCAAATGACACCCTCATTTATTTTAAATATTGGTAAAATGACTTCTGTAAAAGTTTCTCTGGAATATAAATGACATTGAATGGAAAAATTAGCATAGGATTAAATATTCAAAAATGTTAAGCAAAGCAGAAGTAGCAGAGGAGGAAAGGGTGAAATGAAACAAATTCTCTTGCACAATTTGTCTTTCCAGACTGTTCAGCAGGAACATTTCTTGTGTCCCCCTCCCGAGAGCATAAGAACTCATCTGGAATGTCCCTTTCTGGAAAAATGGACAAAGCACCCTACGCATTAATGTCTAAGTGGCTAAGGTGATAAAAATATGTAAGGTAGCAAATGTCATTCATGAAGATTCAAAGTGCAAGGTACAAATCCCATGATGTGCATGTGGGGAGGGACAACATACACTTCTGCACCATGTCCCCAGCTTGCAGAGGAGGAGCCCCTAGAAGGGAGTGCTTTATTCACCTGACAACCTGTCACTAGACTGCCACCACACAGACAGCCCTGAGCCATATAAACAAGATCCTGGGGGTGCATGGGTATATCAGACGGTTTCCAAACAGTCACACTTTATACTGCACTCATTTAGACAGAGGTCAAACCTGCTATTAGTATCCACTGATGAGAGAGAGAGAGGTTAACAGTCAGGAAGAGGTCAAAACTGTCTTCGTAGCCCTATTTACCCCCACTACATGCTACATGAAAGCTAATCACAAAAAGTCAGGGGGAAAAAAAAAGAACCAGCAGCCTGACTTTTCTTTAGGTGTCAACAGAGGGAAAGAATGCTGTAACCCCATAGGTGGTCCCAGTGACTCATCTGAAGCTTGGGGAAGAAATGTAGCCTCTACAGGAAAGTACAAACACTGATAGCTTGAACCATTGAATTGTGCTGACATTAGTTCCACTTCATTATCTGGGACATTTATCCAACACAGGTCACCATATCAGAACATGTGGACATGGGTCTTTTCATCTGGCAGAACATACAGACCTATGCAAATGGAAATTATGTGTGGCTGTTTAGGAAGAATGTGGCCTACTCACCAGCCAGTGCACACATAGTTATTAATGTCAGTACATTTATTTCCCTTTTGAGATTGGCAGAGACAGGCTGGTGGAAAGCACATACCGACCTGAAGGTAAATGGTGGGGAGCATGAAATACAAAGGTATTCACAGATGCTTAGCTTCCTAAGGGAAAAAACATTCATTTCATTTCCAATTTGTAATAGAAATTTGAGCTTGATCACTAGATTAGTATGAAAATCCTCGTTCTGCATAGGAAATCTCACAATCAATTTTCCTCTACTTTTAAGCAACTTAATTGAGGTGGGGGTAGAAAACAAGCTTTGTATTTGAATGTTTATTTCAGTTTATACAAACAAGAATATTTCTACTCTAAAATGTTTCCTATCTAGAAAGCTGGTAAATTCTGGTAGAAGACAGGCTGTTTTGTGGAATTGGCAGCTTGAAGCCATCACAATAAGTTTATTATCTAAGGCTCCATGCATGCCAGGGTAGCCCTGTCCTCTTCTGTTTACCAGGCAAGCAACACATATGGACCACCTGCTGCTTGCCCAGCAGGATGTTGACTTGTTTTTGGTCATTTCTATTCAGTTAGAAAATGTTATGAGTAAATGTTAATTGAATAATAATCCAATTAATCTTTCTTTCATTTAAAAGAAAAATGGCTTAGGTGGCAAGGAAGTCACTGGAAACCTTCAAAACTATTAGAAGTTTACCTTATGGTTCATCCTTGGTGAATATCCAAATGGAATTCTCTGCTTTCCCTCCCTCTGTGTCAAGAGATACTTTAATACTAGATACCAGTGGGATGTGGTTTTGTTTTGTTGTATTTCACAGGATAGGATCTGGTCTTCTAAAGTCTAGTTTTATATTCCATTATGGTTATGTGAACTTTGAACAACCATTAAATACTAAATATACTAATAGAGCTCACCCTCTGGGGATTGAAAACTTCCAAAGTCAGGGCTGTGCCCATTTGTTCTAAGTGTTTTCAATATTGTTAGCTGATGAATATTTTGGAAAAGCATGCAATCTAGTATATGTGCATATGTGAGGGGGAGAAGCAAAAGATAGGCATTGACAGGGAATAGAGAGGTCACTTCACCCTGTGTCTATAGAGTAACTTCAAATATCATTGGACCATCTTCTATTTACTGCTCGGAGCTCACCACAGAGCATAGGCAGCTTTCAGTCTCATGAAAACCCAGAAAAGCAGAGATTATGAATAATTTATAAAAGATGAATTGAGTTGTGTACCTCTCACTAAGTTACACAGCTTTGAGTGCACAGTGACATCTAGATCACTTCCATCTCTCTTCAAGGGGGTCATGAAATTTTCTGATGAATTTCTTTCCAAGGGGATGCCTCATACTGTGACTGCACCATAGAGCATCTCACACTTTTTAATCACATAACTCAGAGTTTAAAAGATGTTCACAGTAAAAGTCCTGGAAGAAACCATTGTAGATTCAAGAGATCTATAGTGTGTGTGTAAGGGGGG